ATTATTTGCAGCTTTATTTTTACACAGTGATCTTGATGAATCAAACTTAGTAGTGACTACTACCTGTTTTTCTTAGTGGTAAAGCTGGTACCTTATATAAGTATTGACTATAATTTTTAACAATTCTATAATATCATTGATTCCTCAAATAAAATAAAATTTCCTTTTTTCACTGCATAACTTCTTTGATTTGCTATATGTTTGAAAGTTTTCTGATTATCTGAGTTTAACCTTTTAATATAGTTATATCTACTTATAAGTTAAGCATATATAACTATATTAAAAACAATGAGATACCCGGGAAATCAATGCATACTTCATTTTCATTTAATTTATGTTTGAAAGTTTTCCATGGATACTTCATTTTCATTTAATTTTGTTAGCCATGCAGTGTGTGAGAAAGTCTGCTTGCATCAGCGATTCAACTGCTAGACTCCGCAGTTCATGTGGTAACTAATCATCCATTTGTTGAAAATGTATCATCTCCGGGAATCAAAGGGAATGACCACGACCAAATTTCGTCCTCTTCTTTGGAGGTACTGACCAAAACATCATCTTTTTCTGTGGAGCAATTATTCTCATTATTTTCTTTTGTTTGGCAGGATGGTGATATTGATGACCTTACTGTTCTCACTCACAACATTGCTCATGGAATCGAACTGAGAAAGTCTCATTAGCATTTTACCTTGCTAATTATCTTGCTCAAGTAATTTTTGGCATCTCTTGCTAGTAGTTTACCTTAGCTGGACTGTTTCACTATTTGTACATGCTTTGGTCTCATTAGCATTATGTTTTGTAAATGTTTAAGGATATTATTTCCATAAATTTTGCATGTGGACTGTCGGTTTGTTTGAAAATGTTGTACTACTGTACGCTGAGGTCTTTCGAAGGTAAAATTAATGGTCATTTTTTGATTGCCCAGATTGCCTCACAATGTCTCCATTGAGCTACAATTCCTTATTTCTAGATTATCATTAAAAACCTTTTCCAATGTTTTTCTTATAGGGTCTTAATGTTTATTTGTCAATAGATAACTAATGCAAATCCATTTTACTAAAGAACCATTGGTGGAGGATTTAACATTGCAGTTTTAGTAAAGCTACTTCTCATGATTCTTCTTTATATTGTACCTGTGAGATGTTAAAAATTGCTTTTCTTTTAACAGTTTTGGAAGGTGAGTGCATGTGATATATGTGAGATTGCTACGAATTCAGTTTACCAATCTGGCTTTTCACATGCTCTTAAGGTATGTATTCAAATTGATTCTATTAAATTTGATATAAATTTTCTTGAAGGATAGTACTTAACTCCAAATTGTTAGATAAAATTACACTTGTGACTTTATGGATGCTAGCTCTGGGAATCTTTCTATCCAAGTCACTGGTGATAATTGACAATTCTATGTTAATGTGCATATCCTATCAATCTGGGAATCTTTCTATCCAAGTCACTGGTGATAATTGACAATTCTATGTTAATGTGCATATCCTATCAATAGTACTATCGCTTTGGAAATATGTTCAAATTGATTTTCTTGATCATAATAATATTGAGCATATATCAACTGTTTAAATAATTGGAAGCTTCCTTTGTAATGAATGGTTCCGAAAATTATTGAACAGCCAGCATCAAAACCTCACTGATATATCCATCAATTTACAATATAGAAAAATTATATTGATGACATACTCTTCATCAGGACATAGTGACTGCTCGCTTCAACAATGACAATCAGATCTTATTATTTATTGTTTTATTATTTACTTCTAACGTCTTAATCCATGTCTCAAACAACAAGCTGACCCCAATTACATTATATAAGAGGGTTGCGGTATCTCAATATCTTTTTCTATCTTTCATTTAGTAACAAAACAGGGCTATACTGTTTTTGTAGCTAAAACAGCAATTCTAATCAGAAGCTAGGCATGAAAATAAAAACATTAGCAGAGAAATAGCAAATAGCATATTAACATTGCATACTTAGTTGTAACAAACTGTTTCAATGAATGGTGGCTATACCATCATAAATTGATAGGTAACCTACCATTCAATCTTATCAAGAATTTTTCGGATGGTTTGGGCATGGGGAGTCTCAATGGTCTTGTGTTTCATATAGGCTAACACTGTGAACCATATCATATAACACAAATCAAGGTGGGGGGGGGGGGGGGGACTTAGGCCTTTCACTGATTTCCTCATCCTTATATATGCTTCCATACATTTGATCCACTTGTTGCCATATCACTTCGTGAAAATTTTCATTTACCACCCATGTCAGTAGAGCATACTGCAAGTGCATGTCGTTAGCAATGCATATTTTAGAACATTACTCATGAATCTCAAAATGTTTCTAGATGTGCGTGACTAATTAATAGGAAGCTTAGAACAATTACATCAAAAATATACAGAGATGGTTATATGTGACTGATATACACCAAAGTAATGATTATTTTCTCAGAACAAAATTATGGGTCTATAATTAAGAATTAAGCAGCATGATCTAATTACTCAATTCTGCAAAATATACAGACCATGGTATGTGATCAAATAGAATAATTTACCAATATACTTATTACTGAAGTATTCTTATAAATGTTTATGCCTTAAAATATTACAGATTTCATGTTGTCCTAAGATTTAACTATAGTTTCTACCAAGCCAGGTCCATACTGCCTTTGATTTATTGTGCAGAATAACAAGTTTTTTTCCCCATGATTGTGCTTAGGCATTTGAGGAAGCTATTTAAGGTGGATCCGGCAAATTTTATGATGGCCATTTGTTGGAATGATGCCTTGAGAGAGCTTTCATCTCCNAGGAAAGAGTGGGAGCTTCTTCCAATTAACACAGAATGATCGGTTCATGATAAATACGGTGAAGAAATCTGAAGTCAGCTCTTTCAGCCTAAAATCTTTTATTTGGTCTGTCCTTTATGGTGAATGTTGACTCTCTGATTGGCAGAAATGCTCATGACAGAATTTCAATGCATTCGTTTGTTTCAGAGCATTACTTGTGGAAGTCATATATTAACAAACCAATAGTTGAAATTCTGAGTAACGAGTAGATTCTCTACCGTGGATGAATTTACATAACATTTCAGTAATTTATTCTTTCAGGACATCTTTTGACTATATATGGGGTCTCTGACAGTTGAAACCGAGTCAATAGACCAATGGAACTATAGATTTTTAGGGCTTAGTGAATCAAGGAAAGGAGATTATGAATTTCCACAAGTTCTGTCACTATTATTCTCAGTTCTCAAGAAGACCATTCAAAGGGAAAGGAGATTATGAATTTCCACAAGTTCTGTCACTATTATTCTCAGTTCTCAAGAAGACCATTCAAAAGAATGAGAGTTCGCCGGATTCTACGACGAGGAAAGCTAATGACACCATTGGCCATGGTCTCAGAGCACAGAATCTTAGCAGACAAAGTTACACTGAGCGCATATTCAAGTACTCAAATTGTAGCAATTCATGCTTTATCCTTGCACATGAATACATTGACATATACCTCGTGCAACCAGATGTCCATCTTTCTTGGCTCAATGTTCATCGGTAGCTAATGACAAGTGTGGTCATTGCAGCAAAATTCATTGATGATGCGTAAGTATTGCGTGCGTTCTTCTTTCCAAATGTTTTGACTTTGGATTTAGTTCTAAAAAAGTGCTCATAGTTCTTTGGGAGTCTTCTGTTAAGTTTGTTACATTTGTTTATGTCATAGAATATATCATGTTTCAATTTCTTTTTTATTAAAATTTTTTTCTCTTTCATGCTTGCTACAGTACACGTTTTTATCTATTTTCAAACCAAGTGCTTCTTTGCCACTCATTTATTGTGTTTCATTAACAAAGTCATTTGTTCATTGACCTAATATAGATAAATTGTGTTTATAATATCTTCATTTTATTAACTATTGCCAAAAAATGTTTTCCAGATTAGCAATTACTAAATTTCGTACTTGAAAACTTTCATTTAGGTGGTAAAAAAAGGAGAACAAGTGGTTGCTTAACAGAGCTTTCTCGTCACCATGCATCAGGACAAGCCGAAAATGCAGGCAGCTTACTAAAAACTCAAGTAGCAAATGATTCAAAAGAAGCTTTGATGAGTCAATAGTTCTATATGTCATTGCTATTAGCCAGTGATAAGTCAGCTTCAGTGGACCTATGCTACATCTGAATTTTATTCTTATAAGATGGTTGATTGAAACTCAGTGGTGTATATCAAATAAAATTCTTTAATAAAATTATTCATTGTTTTCTATTGTTAAGGACACAAACAATCTATTTAATCATTTTTAATTTTTAAATTCTATCCATATGTTTGATACATGGTTTAATTTAAATAAATTTTAATAAAATGAATCAATAATAAAATAATAAATAAAACAATTTACCACGTGCATTGCACGTGTAATCCAACTAGTATATATATATATGTACACACACGAGCACAACATATATATTATTTTCGTAAATTGGGAGAGAAGCACATAAATACTTCATTATGATGAAGATGGAGGACTATATAATATTAAATATAAATATATATATATATATTATATATATATATATATATATATATAGTATAGTATAGTATATATATATAATATATTATGTACATATACATATATATATATATGTACATATACATAAGTTAATATAATATTACTATATATTATATATTATAGTACAATGTACATATTATATAATATATATATATATATATATATCATATATATTATATATGTTACATATACAATATATATATACAGTAGATTTCTCATGCGTACGAATTCGTACGAATCAGCCCCGTGTTTGTTAAAGCAGGGTGTTTTTTGAAAAATTGGCGACGACGAAAAATAAAAGGGCAGGCACGAATCTCAAGCTAGGAATTGTTAAAGCAGGGGGTTTTATGAATAATACGACGAAATCAATTGGCACATAGCGCTACAATTCCCAGCTCGTGACCCCCTGCTTCTTCTTCTCCCATTTCTCCCCCATTTCTCCCAAAATCAAAACTCCGTCTCCGTGTTGAATCAGCCGACTTTTTTATTTCGTCTCCTCCGTCTAGTTCCCCATCTCCGCCCACCACGAAAGCAGAATCACCGCCGACGAAAACCGATCTTCCTTCGAGCTCGAGCGCTACAACGAGATCCCCATTTCTCCTCCTCCATCAAGCCACCTCCTTCCCCCAACTCAGGTAAGGATCACGGCCATCCATTTACAGGTTTTGATTAGGGGTTTTTTTTTTGATTTTTTTTCGATTTCAGGTTCAGCGTCCTCTCCCCCAAATTCGGCTACAAGTCTCCGCGGACGAGCTCGTGGTCGAAGGTACAGAGCTCTGTCGGTCTTTTTTTTATGAATCAATCTATAATCCTGGAAAATAAGCCAAAAACAAGAGAGTTGGGATGTGTTGACGTTTTTTTCGTTTGGTTTTTATCCATGGAAATTGTGTTATGGATCCTGATTGTATACCCGTTGCTAATCTGGTCTTTGATCAAATGCATTTTAAATCTTCAAATAGTTTTCTTTCTATTTTAAAGAATAAAAATGATTTTTTTTTTTAGTTTACCAAAAGTTTAAAGTCTAACTCGGGTGACTGTTATAAAAACTATGTTTTCAAACCTCCATGTATATAGAATTGATGCTTAGGAAATTTACAATATCGATATTTTAAGAACTATGTTTTCAAACCTCCATGTATATAGAATTGATGCTTAGGAAATTTACAATATCGATATTTTAAGAACTTCACTATACTCCATTCTCCAGGATATGCCATCCAAACTTGCAGTGCACTTTCCTGTGAGCTTTTAGAACCTAATAGACATTGGTAAATGGTGATTTGAAGGAACTTCATGATTTATGGAACCTTGATATTGATGTGATGTAATGTCCCTGTTTCCTTCCATAACCAGAAACCAAGAACTTCATAGCTATGACAAACAAATATGTGTTTATACTCAAAACATCTTGCAATTATGTTATTATGGATAATGTTCTTTAAGATATTTCACTGCTTGTGCATCTGAACAGAAATTATTATATGTTTCCTTGCTTGCTACTAGACCATGCATTATCTGATAGTGAGTTTTTTTACTTGGTTTTACTTCAGGCTTGTTTGCAAGATGGAGATATATTGGACAATTTCAGTTATTGTACATGTTCTTGTGATCATTTGAATTCTTAAAGAGAATGGACCTATATTACACGAACATTTTCCCCTCAAGTTTCTAGAAGATGCAAGGATGCACTTATTCTGTTCTTGACTCCTGAATCCAACAACTTGGTTTTCCTCTGGTCACTTATTCTGTTGGTTAGTTCAGGCACTTATTCTGTTGTTTGGACTTTTATATGATTCTGGTGGAATATATTTCTGGTTTATGCATTGTAAGATTGTATTATGAGCATTTTTTCTGTTTTAATTGGTCTTTACAGGACGTAAACAAATCAGGTCCACATTGTGAAAGTTGTGGGTGAATGCTTTTGATATCAGTTTGTGAGATGTGGTTGGGTTTTATGTATGTACTTTTGTTAATCTTGACATCAGTTTGTGAGTAAGTGGTGGGTTTTATGTATGTACTTTTGATATCAGTTTTATGTATGTACTTTTGTTATACTACCAATATCGCTTGTGACAGGTGAGTGATTTCCATGAAATTGTAGTTGGGATGTTGCTTTTGTTATACTACATGTACTAAAATTGGAGTTGGGATGTTGCTTTTGTGCTTTTGTGATGTTGCAAAATGGTTGAAGGCCTATATCAATGTTTGTTGCATGAAATTGTATTATGTTTCATTGAGATATTAACATTTACCTTCCGCAGAGTATCTATACTTGTTTATCTGTGATGATCTATTATGACAGATTATGTGGTTGCATGAATGATTAAGGATAATGCAAACAGGCTTATCACGTTCTCGTGTACTTCATGAAAGAGGCATCTAAGCGTTCAGTCACTCCAAATAATGTTCCTCAACAGCATTATCTCCCAAAAGTGTTCCTTTCTTATGGGAGGAACAACCTGGCATTTCAAAAGAAGAATTCCCAAGAAAAGAATCAAGAAAAGAGAATGCAGCTCCTAGGTTGCCAGTCCCTCCTCCAAGTCCAAACCTTTCTACTGATAGCACCTATTTTCCTTCACTGTTTTGTCATTTCAATTCATTGGCAAAGATTATTCATGGGAATAGGAGTACAAGGAAAGAAGACCCTTTTGTTGCTGCATATTTGGAGTGTACAAAGAGTGTGAAGAACTGTAAAGAGAAGAGGAGATACAGAACAACATATACACCTAATACACAGAACAACAAAAACTCATGACGCAGCAGATATCACTAGTTTCACACAAAATGAGTGAAAAAAGTAAAAACAGAACAACAAATTATGCAAGTTTAGCCAACCAATGCAAACTCAACCACAAAAAATAAATATTATTCTCGAAAACTAATACAGTAACTGCCGATGCCGTGCTAATATAAATTTTCATAATTTATTATGAGAAAGCACTCCTTATAATTTACAATCAGGAAGGCAACATGTTCTGGTCTTCAACACAATTACCACACAAAGGAGAACTTATTCTCAGGAATTACTCCTTTATTTTTACTCGATTATGCCACAGCTCAAAAGTGTACACTCTCCCAAAAGACCCCTGATGTAGATATTCAACCTGTTTTGACAAAGGAAAAAAAAATCAGGCAAAGAACTATAAGAGGGAACAAAAAGAAATTCAATAATAATCACCATGCAAATCCAACATTTACCAAGAGATAAATGTCTTTATAAATGAGTAACATAATATCTTTTAAGGAAGGAGTGGATAGGATAAGAGACTTGCGGTGTTTCTTAAAATATCGATATTGTAAATTTCCTAAGCATCAATTCTATATACATGGAGGTTTGAAAACATAGTTTTTATAACAGTCACCCGAGTTAGACTTTAAACTTTTGGTAAACTAAAAAAAAATCATTTTTATTCTTTAAAATAGAAAGAAAACTATTTGAAGATTTAAAATGCATTTGATCAAAGACCAGATTAGCAACGGGTATACAATCAGGATCCATAACACAATTTCCATGGATAAAAACCAAACGAAAAAAACGTCAACACATCCCAACTCTCTTGTTTTTGGCTTATTTTCCAGGATTATAGATTGATTCATAAAAAAAAGACCGACAGAGCTCTGTACCTTCGACCACGAGCTCGTCCGCGGAGACTTGTAGCCGAATTTGGGGGAGAGGACGCTGAACCTGAAATCGAAAAAAAATCAAAAAAAAAACCCCTAATCAAAACCTGTAAATGGATGGCCGTGATCCTTACCTGAGTTGGGGGAAGGAGGTGGCTTGATGGAGGAGGAGAAATGGGGATCTCGTTGTAGCGCTCGAGCTCGAAGGAAGATCGGTTTTCGTCGGCGGCGATTCTGCTTTCGTGGTGGGCGGAGATGGGGAACTAGACGGAGGAGACGAAATAAAAAAGTCGGCTGATTCAACACGGAGACGGAGTTTTGATTTTGGGAGAAATGTGGGAGAAATGGGGGAAGAAGAAGCAAGGGGTCACGAGCTGGGAATTGTAGCGCTATGTGCTAATTGATTTCGTCGTATTATTCATAAAACCCCCTGCTTTAACAATTCCCAGCTTGAGATTCGTGCCTGCCCTTTTATTTTTCGTCGTCGCCAATTTTTCAAAAAACACCCTGCTTTAACAATCGATAATTCATTGCGCTTTAGGTTGTGAAGAAAATAATGACCAATTAATATAGAATCTTGTATATAATATTTCTTGTATAATAGCAGTTGCATATAGAGAGGAGATTATGAAGTTCTTGGTCGTTAGCATGTACTTAATAATACAGCAGTTAATATTAGTGGACAATTAATAGGAGAGTTATGACGTTATTAAGAATGTATGCATGTAAGCATTTTAAGTTGACACTTTGTTTGCAAATTGAAATGTATATTATTAGTTTGTCATATGTGTGTGCATTCAATTCTCAGTTATTATATCAAATACAACTTACAATCTTAAAAAAAATTTATGATAACATTAATATTGGATTAGTGGAGGGGTTACAAAAAATAGAAGTTAATATTAGTGGACAATTAATAGGAGAGTTATGTCATTATTAAGAATGTATGCATGTATATATATGTATGTGTTTATATGTATGCAAATATGTGTTTTATGGATGCATGTATGTGGTTTGGAGGGCATTTTTGGAAGAAATGTTTTAACATACCAACACATTTTTATAATAGTATTAGATTAGATTTATGAACCTAAAAGTAGTTATTGGTTCGGTGAAATTATGCTAAAACTAATTAATTATAAATCTTAAGTCAATAAACTAGCATTTCAAAAACAAATTAGAATAAGTTATTTGCTAAGTAAGAAATTTTTGAACTTGAGTTATTAGGTTTATTATAAAAAAAATTCTCTTCTATGTCAATGTTGTTTACTGCAATCCATTAAACTATTGCAAATGTCGATCTAGATCAATATCTAGGTAATGAAAGGAGAGATATAAGACTATTTTTTCACATATATCTACTCATATCATAAGTTTTTGGGCACAATTGCAAGTCAAGAATACTCTGATTACTAAATTGGTTGTTAGTTTAGTAAAATTATGCGAATAATGAATTAATAATAAAAATTGAAACCTTAAATTATCATATCAAAAGGCTAATGAATGGCATGGCCATGGGAGGAGAAGAATTAGGCCATACATCTCTTTGGATTTATCAAGACAAATTATTAGCTAACTAAGATTTCTGAACCCGTGTTATAAGTTTCTTTTTTACCAATTTTGTTTCTTGCAAACAATTAAATCATAGCTTAACTTCAATTTAGATCAAGAACAAGGTAATGAAGGAGAAATATATATATTAAGGATACCAATTTTTCCATTAAAATTTCTAAATTGAGTTAATTTTTTAGAGTTAAGACCAAATCAACCTTGGCTGAAATTAGCCTCCTCCCAATGTAAAAAGGTAGGTAAAATGTAAATAAAAAATCAATTAGGGTAAAACAAAGCCATAATTGACATGTGAGTAGAACATGCGAATACTCAGACATTCAAGTAACATAATATACTAATTTGTCATGTTTAAACAAGCTGGGTATGTAAGTTCAAACTTTTACAATTTGGGGCGTATAAGATTAAGGAAGATGAAAATATAAGGTATTTAAGTGTTTTTTTAGCCTTTTAGAAAACCCCTTAAATTTGGTCATTTCTTAGATAAAAAATTGTTAGCAAAAAGCCCCCCCCCCCCCCAAAAAAAAAAAAAAAAAAACTTTAGTGATCTCAATCCCTTAAACTTTTAACAATTTTCAAAAAATCCTTCTTAATGGCAATAATCCTTACTTCGTACTTTTTTACATATGAGTAAAATTATGTATCAACATAAAATTATGCATGTTGATACTTTTGCCAATGAAAATTGTGTTTCACGATTTTAGGGTTTGAATGTGGTTTTCTGAGAACCTTAAAACTTAAAGAGTTTTGTGACATTTTAAAAATTCGAGGGCTTTATCATGAAGCATTTGTGAAATTTACCCTAAATAAAATGTATAAATTTTATGATTGGAAAAACTGATTTGATATCTAATAAAGTGTTAATACAAATCAAACTAATTTAAAATACTATTATATAATAAAATTATACATTAGATACATAAAATTATCATTGTAATGCGCACTTATAGCCTACATATAAACATAAAAATGGACACACGTGCAAAGCACGTGCACCGTACTAGTATCTTAAAAAAACTTTATTTGAGATACACAAGAATAGGCTATTCTCTTTTTTTAATTGCATTGCCCAAGAGAAGTTGAAGCTGTATAGATTATTTGCATTGCCCTACTATCACCAACCAGGGAGAAAATATAGAGTGGGCGTGCGGTAATAATTCCATATTGATCTGAATCAATCCATATGCTCCTATTTTTAATAAGATTCTAGCTAGAAGTATACATGTAGTGTAATGTGCTTCTCCATGGGTATCTGGTAGCAATGTATGTAGGGGTATAATCGGCAATTTGACAGCATAAGTAATGTGCTTCTCCATGGGTATCTGGTAGCAATGTATGTAGGGGTATAATCGGCAATTTGACAGCATAAATAATAAGGAAGCCCAAATAGAATTTTATTTCTAATGCCACAGAATATGACTGATGAGCTAATCTTTCAAAATCCAATGTTGGTTCATTGGAACCATATAAACCCATACCTAGAACCCCTATTAAGAGAAAAATGGAACCCCCCGCAGTGTACAAAATAAACTTTGTAGCCGAGTACAAACGTTTCTTTCCCCCCCACATGGATAAAAGTAAGTAAACACTCCCACATAAGGAAAAGAAGTAAAAGGTCTCGAGAAGAAAATAATCATATTTGACCACTGTACATTGCTAAGGAAATAGAATAATTACAAATTTCGAGTAATAGGCCAAGTTGCCAAAGTAGCTAAAGTAGTGATAAATATTGTCAATAAAATGTGTCCCATGGAATGTCCATCGATTCCCCGTCTCTAGGGAAAATCAAAAATATTTATCCATTTAAAATCCTCCACCAATTGAATTAATGGATCGTCCAATTGGAAATGATAACAGAACACATAGGTTGTTAGAAGGAGTTCTAATAAGCATATACGTATAGTACACCACCTAAATAGTTTATTCCCCTTATGAGGGAGAAAGAAAATCGAACAATCTGCGAATATTGGCAAAACTACAAGTAGCGTTAACCAAGAAAAATAACTCGTGATAAAGACAAGATGTGTTTTGACTAAAAAACCCGTGCTCGGAATAATATATTTTATCGAGTACGGGCTTTTGTCAGTAAAAAGGAAGTAAATGATTCAAGTGGAGTTTTTTATAACGTATCAATAAGATAGACTCATGTTGCGGGTTGTTTCATGCCATAAATAAACACAGATACTCAAAAAATAAATGATAAGTAAGTTTGACAGTCATTTAAGGATAAAGTTTTGATGATTTAATATTTGGAGGATATTAGAGACATCTACATTTGGGCAGAGCCATATTTGTCACAGACCAACTGCATCAACACTTCCTGTAAAACCAAAAAATGAGACTAAACATGAAAACAAAGTATATGATGTGTTCTCTTAATCTTTTTCTTGTAGAGTATATCTAAAATCAACGTCTGATAAAAGAAAACATCTTATTTGTCTCATATTTAATCCAATATTTTTGGATGCCAAAATAATTTAATCTCATTACTGTTGTTGACTTCATCATTAACTATTTACCAAAATCACAAGCGAACCATTTGGCTAAATTCACTATAAAGTTCATTGAAAACAAAACTGCCAGTTGTACACACAGATGTTAAAAATGCCCACCACAAGAGATTTCTATTGTTCGCGCCAAATTCACTGTGAAATTCACCAGACACTTCTTTTAAAAAGGAGAAATGTTTGCTGCTATGGATACAATCTATCTTAATTCCTATCATCACAATACCAAACACCAAAAGTCACCGATATACAAGTTATAGACTCCTAATTAATTTCTTTAGTGGTCTGCTTGGGAGATCACTTAGGGAAGTATGTGAAGCAGCATTATCTTCAGCAGAGAGGTTAAGTATCATCCTTGCTGCTTATGGAGCCCTGAATATTGAAAATAGAAAATTGATTAGATGGGTGGGGAAAAAAATGCTTTTTTCAATCGACTGTGCTTACTAATATTAGGAAGTAAGCAAGGCAAAGATAAATGTGGTATTTTTTTCATAATACATGCAGTTGTTTGTTTGCATCTAGCAATTTGCAGCAAGTGGCAAATGAGATTTTATCGTGTGCCCACGCTTCGCGAGCTCTAGGGCGAGAGTTCGGCCGAGGCCTCGGCTGACTATGGAGATCATCACTGTTTTTGGGGCGGTAACGCCTATCGCCATTCTCCCTCTCCCTCTCCCCCGCTCCCGCTCCCTCTCTCACAAAAGACTGTTGGGTTTTTTTTGGCGCCATCGGGTTCACACAAAGAGTTGGCAGTTGGGGTTTTGGATAAAATAAGGGGTAGTTTCCCAGTGTTTTACTGAAAAAATAAATTAGAATAAGCCTAAGCCATCTGCACTACAAGAAATGGATGTGAATACTACGATGACAATGAGATATGTTCTTTTTCTTCTCCAAATTTACTTATTTGGTGCTCTTATACATAACGTACAAGTAAGAGGCATTGTGCAAGAACAAATTTACAAAGTCCTCATAGGAAGTAAAAATTCATGCGTTTTGACGTCCGTTGAAACTACGTCTTTCAGTGTTTTTGACTAATGAAAAGTCACTAATGATCTTTGGAAAGCAATCCTGTAACCACGATAAGTAACAAATAAAGAGTCATTGTCACGTACGGTTAGAATTTTTTATTATTATTACACTATCTCAACAAATATCTTTCAAAAAAAATTTATAACTTGTTGCCAATCTTGTAAGATCTGCATCCATGCTTGATAAACGGATACGGATGTAATAAGTAACATATCGTATCCGGTCCGTTTGCACCCCTACCCTGGATTCAACCCTATCTCAATGGGTTTGGATTTTGGATCTTGAATCGTTCTATAGTGGTTTTGGATCCAATTTCCCCCAAAAAACCTCAAAAACCTAACGGTCTCTTTTGATCCAGATCTTATCCATCCAAAGCCCAATTCTGGTCTTTTGAAGGCGAACTCTGTTCATTTGAAGAATTCCTTGATCCGGGGATTTTCTCATTTTTGAGATTGGCGAGATCATGAATTTCCTTCTTTGAAGAATGATAAAGGCAAGAGAATAGCGAGAGAGGATGATGTTGTTATGAATCAACCTCTACAATGGGGGGGCGCTGAAGGTGATAGAATTTCTTCCTCCATGGTTTATTTTGGAATTTGCTGAGTCAGTAGATGACGAATTTCCAGAAATTTGTCAGGGATTGCGTAGTTGTTATGAATGTGGTTCTGGGTGAAGATGTCTCTGCTCGAGAATTAGTACGTTAATTAAGAAGTTATTTTCCTGAAATCCCCCTGATTAGTACGAGAGAGCTTTGATTAAGCTGCATGGTGTTCCTCCTCCTCATCTTTGGAACTTAGAATCCTTTGCCAAAGCCATTAGACTCTTTGCTGATATTATCGAAGCAGATGGGTCCACGGATATGGGTTCGGAAAATGATAGATGCTGTTCTCTTAATTCAATGTGCCACACTCAAAGATATCACTAGAGTGCTAAGATTTGTTATGGCTGTATCTAAGGTTAATAAACATGCGAATCTGGATGATAAATCGGGTAGAAAGAGGATGAGCCAATCTCCTAATAATGGCTCCTTGGGTGGCTTTTCTTCTCTTGATACTCATTAGAAGAGGGGTCCGATTGTTATCGTAGTTACCCTGCAAATCCTGTTTGGAATATCATGAGCAGCAGTTTATTCTAGGAGAAAAAAAAAGGTTCTGAATCTCAGCTTGAAGAAAATGTCAAAGAGTATATCAGCCGAGGGAAAACTGAGGTTCTACAACGTGCTCAAGAGAAAGTGGAAGAGCCTTTTCCTTCGGAGGACGGTGAAGTTCTAAGATCCATGCGAGAAAATCAAATGGTGGTTTGTAGTGATGGTGATGTTAAGCTAGGGAGGGATGAAAAGGAAAGCACCAATATGAGAAGCTCAGAGATAGCAGGAGCAAATAATAAGAAGAACCTGCTTATTTCTCTTGATTCACGAGATAGAGGGTTCCAGTTTACAAACCTTAACAGAAGGAATCAAGACACCCACTAGCTTTTTGCAGGGAATTTCTAAAGTTGATCTGTCAAATGCGCTTATTCTTCTTCCTTATATTGAGGAGAGGGATCATGATGGTTTGGAAAGTGTTAAACCCGAGGATCAATTGAATAATGCTCTCTGGAATTTGTCACCATGTGTATCTCAGGGTGAGAATGATGTGGTATTGTATGAGGACGATGAGGAGGGTTTCTTGCTTAGTATTCAGCCTTTGAATGCTATTTCAACTTTTCAAGAAGAGATTGATATAATTGCCAGATAGTCAAATAGTGTTGAGCAGAGCCACTTCAAAGGTTGCAGCAAGGAATGACTTAGGAGACCCCTTAGCTCATGGTATTCCTTCTAATAACTCTGCCATGTCAGGTAATCAGTCTAATCTTGGCTCTGCTTATGTACCAATTCTTTTCTACTCCTATAGTCATCAATAGTTACTCTCCTATCCTTCTTAATGCTCTATTATTTTTTTATGAGATTGATAAGTTTAATCCTATAGAAAAAATAGGCCGAGCTTTGAAAGAGATTAATGTTGATCCCAAATGTGAGTTATGTGCTGATAATGTTGAAACACATGATCATCTCTTCATTACTTGTCCTTAATTATGTTTCTTCTGTGTGGAGATTTATCACGTGCAAATTTAGTTTGGTAGGAAACTTTGGTTCAATTATTGGTTTATGGATGGAGATTGAACTGTGTTCCTTTACAAAATAGAATCAAATGGATTGTATATAGTTGCGCTTTGATCTGGTTATTTGGACTGAAAGAAATAATATTTTCCGTAGATAATCTTGGCATTCTCTTAATATTTTGGGACAATTTAACCATTTCTCTGATTCTGGTTAGGACATTCTGTTCTCAGTGTGCGTGCAACCCGTTTTCTGAAGAGGGGAGCAAGAAGAACAACTGATGCTGCTGTGGCTGCTAGGGAGGATCAGAGACGGGAGATACTTCAGATGCTAGATTATGTGGTGCCTCCTGAGTCAAACTTAGACTGAGAATATGAAGACTTTTGAAAAAGTTATAGATAAACTAATGTTCTCTTTTTCTGTTGAAAACTTGGTCATGTTTAGGAATCTCATTAGGTTCGGTTTGGTTTTGGAGTATTTGAAACTGAAACAACCGAACTGACATTAATGTAATTGTCTAAGGGCTTATTTGCAACTCACCCACTAACTTAAATAATCCACTAACTAATATAGGAATGTAAATGCGTTTGGCAAAAGCTTTTATAAGCTTGGACTAGTTCTTTTTTACTTTTAAAAAGAGGCTTTTATCTAGATTATCTTTGGACCACCAATAATTTAGTTCAATCCTAGTCCGGTGAAGATTTGTAATCAGATTAGTGTCAAGTTGTCAAGCTCGCTCTAAAACTCACACTCTTCCTATGTGAATAGATGATTTATACTAAATGTTTTATATATCTTCAGATTAATAGAGATTATATTTTACCCGTCGCCGGTGACATGAACAATTGAGAGGTTCTCTATCAGCCAATATCCCCCCAATATTTTGCATATTAGAGAGGGCCAGAGGGTATCATTTGGGGGTGGGGGTGGGGGAGGAATCCTAGGTTCTAACTTTTTAATGTCTAACTAGCATTGCTTTGCACGTTCAAGAGATAGAGTTATTTCTAACAAAGATCCTATTATTAAAGAAAATTACCAAGTAAATCTGGTAGTAAGGTTAGATGTTAAAATCTGAGGAAACTATCATATCATCTTAATTAGTGTATACTCTTAAGGAGAACCAAAAGACTACAAACCCTTCGCAAGATGCCACATTAGCTTTTCATTCACAAGTTTTTTCCGTATACAAAGATCTATGTCATTCATCTACATCCTAATTTTAAAGTAACCATTTAGATTAAACTTTACCTGTTAATCTCAAAAAATCGTGTAGAATCCCGTATAATTTTTTTAAAAAAATCTTCTTTATTTGAAAATCCCAAAATCGCACATTTATTTTTATTAACTACCAAATCTATTTAGACTAAATTTTACTCATTAATTTAAAAAAATCGCGTCTAATCACGCACAATTTTAAAAAAACCATTTATTTGATTGCGCCGGCCCCCTCTGCCACAATTTCGAGATTGAGTGCTGAAACCTCTATTAATTTGATTGAACGGAGGTATATATTTTGTCCTTCCGACTTAGCGATGGGCGCTTGATGTTGAATTGAAGACTCCTCCATCTCTTTTAAGGCTTTGATGTGCTGCTCCTGAATGCATGAGAAGCTTTGGGCGGGCGCAAGTCATCAAATGAGAGGTTAGTTGCACTCTATGCTTGATTTTGTATCTTAGAATTAAATCAATGACCTGGAAGCCTGAAAATAAAGTCTGTTTCTCTCATGTCTCATTTTCAGCAAGAGTCCAGCCAAAGAATGGCTTTTTCAACTGTATTCTTTATAGGACAAATTTTCAAACTAGACCCCTTTAGAAATTTATTTTCAAAAAACGACCCATTTGAAATTTATTTGTCATTTTCGACCCAGTTTTAACCACCTGGTTGAAACTTGGTCGAAAATAGGAAATAAAGTTCGAAAACTTCACTTGATTTAAAATCTCATAAAGTTCACTGCCTGATTAACCACGCTAATGAAGCTGTTGAAGATCAAAAACTTCATGAGATTTTAAATCCTGTGAAGTTTAGTGCTGATTAACCACGCTAAACTTCACATGATTTTAAATCCCATGAAGTTTTAGAACTTTATTTGCCATTTTCAACTTGGTTTCAGCCACCTGGCTGAAACCAGGTCGAAAATGGCAAATAAATTTCAAGGAAGTTGGTTATTGAAAATAATTTCCTAAAGAGGCCTCTTTTGAAAATTTGTCCTTCTTTATGTTACAAAGTACATATTCTCATTTTTCTGACTCATATAGTAATTCTTTCTCTAAACCAATGATTTTGTTCGTTCTGTAGATATGCATTCGTGTATATGAGAACTCTTCTAACCTGATAATTGTAACCAAGGTTTTAAATATCGGTTATCGGGAATTTATCGGACGACCAAAATTCTTATCGGATAGCGGAAATCGGGGATATATCGGGGATAAGTAGTATTTATCGGAGTGATATACTAGATGGTGTATATATATAATATAATAACTAAAAAATGTAATCTAACCATGCTTAATGAAATATAAACATACCAAAATGTAAATCATCATGTTTAAAATCACTAACCAATTGTAAAAAGCAAAACTTACATTTTGACCGCACAATGAAACCATTCGATTGCATAGTCTTACTTATCGGCCGATAATCCCGATAAAAAAACCTTACTTATCAGCCGATAAGTACCGATAACGCCGATAACTCCCCGATAACTTGCCAAAAACGATAACCGATTAAAAATCCAAGTTATCCTATCGGAGAGCTCCCAAATCCGATAACTCGGTCGATAATATCGGTTATCGGCCGATATTTAAAACAGTGATTGTAACAAGCGGGGATTCTCTGCATAAGGAAAGAAATCCTGGATTTTAAGGTAGAAAGAAGCCCTTCAACTCCAGCCTTTTGATATGTGTGTGTGTTTTTACCCTTTATTCTCTTTTTTTCTTTCTTTTGTGTGTGGGTGGGGGGGGGGGGGGTGTGGGTGGGGG